AGGGAAATAAAACTGCAGGACCGTGACCCGGGGGAATCGAACCCTTTGCCTGCTGCTCACCCGTTATCTGGCCTTTCCATAAACGCACAACGAACATGAACCGAGTTCCACGACTTGAAAGACTCCCCTCGCTAGTACTGTTAATTGAACCCCGTATGCTACCAGAGACCCGCGAGGGTCTCGTATGTACTTATAGACCACTGTTATACATAATTGTTCAAAGGTTCAGCACTCTACGAAGGATAGGTGATCGGTTAACAATTAGCCCATTGAGATAACAAGAGCTTCACCCAAGGTGAGGTCCGTGTACTGATCGCTTGGACGAGAAGGAAACCAAAAATACTGGTTCTGGAGTATTCTCCAGCTTCTCTCTTCTTGCAACCTCGACATGTAGGTAGTAAGTGTTTCAATATTCTTGTGCCTTACGAGGTTATAGATGCTCCACCTAACAACTTCGTATCACCTCATCACCTGTTCCCGTTGATTATCGAGTTCCTCGAGGGGCGCCAGTAACGTCTCATTCGTCCCTGCAACGTGCAAGAGTTGCCCAATGAACTCTCTCTGCTCGAGGGACACGATGAACTTCATACCATTCGTTCAGAGCTTTCACGAAGAAGTCTGGCTATCGCGTAGGCTGTCGTCCGCTTGTTCTTGTGCCACCTACCAACCTCGTAAGGCACGAAGAATATTGAAACAAGTTCTGGAAGTTTTTTGAGTGTTGATTTTCCCGGTGCCGGTGCGCTACGCACACTTCGTATCTTTGCAGGATGCATGCAGTGTGATGTACATGTGTGATCAGGTTGAAAGGAGTTCGACAGATAGTTTAGCAGTAATCCCCAAAAGCGCTGCAGTCGACGTTCCAAATGGATCTCTACGTGGCGCAAACCACGTCTTCCCCATCTCTTGGACATGGAGTGCGCACATAGTTTGTAACAATCAGTCTGGGGTGGCAGGAGGTGGGCGGGACGACCCCGCCCCAGGTTGCCTTGCGCTCTACCAATGGTATTAATCGTAGTAATACTTAGAAGAAAACAAGCAGTAGTGAAAACAAAGGTGGTGCCCGCTGTTTGCAACGACTGATTGCGGTGATATCAACTGTACCTCCAAAGCGGCGGCACGGCAACCTTGCATTCCCCAACACTGGGGCGAAGGTTCTCTCTCTTCGCCCCTCATCGTAGAGCGGCAGACCGATTTTAAGCATTCTTCCAGCAACGTGCCTGACCTAGCTCCAATGCACGCAGATAAAATCAAAATCACACAATTACTCAATATCTTTACAGCGTTGTAGAGATATTGAGTAATTGTGCATTTCGTTCCTTAACAGAAACATTCTCTGAGTCTCAACACCTGATTGTAAAATTTTATTGACATCTTCATTCACATCATCAAATTTTAATGAGTAAATATCACATGAAGACCCGGATGTTATATGCACATAAAAGGTGTGGCGAAAAAATCGCAAGCGGTTTTATTATTTCCCTGCGTTCCTATTTGTCAAACATCCCCCTGAACAACAGTGCCAGAAAACACCCGAATTTTTCGGACAAAAAAACCGAACTGGTTAGTACAGCCGAGTTCGTCGTGAACTCGCTGAATTTTTCCTCGTCGTTTCTTGGTATTCTTGCAATCAAAAATGCGCAGAAAACTTGCGCACAATTGCAGTTTTGTGTTCTCCGCTTATCATGCTACTCACCATTTCGGAAATGGGCTCCACGACCCAGTACCTTCCGTATAAGACGAGTCAATGACAGTGTCTAGGGGACGGAAGCAGTGTAGTGGCTTTTTTAAAGTACGCCATTTCCACAACCACGAGCACATCACCTTCCCCTCAGAATCAACTCACAGAAACAGTGAACGCCTGGTTTTCCACTGCGCTTGAATGTAACCGCAGTTTAGTGGTGAAAGACGACTACGTAATGTAATATTCTTCATGCATATATATTTTTCAATTCGATGATTGACACGTAATTGTGCTCTATAAAATGCTCATTGATGTGCCTTAGTAGACACACTGAAGCCGACCGGTGAAACGAATATTTCGTCCGAGAACAGCGATTCGTTGGCCCGTCTGCTTATGATTTGTGGCCGGATTTTGTGAACCCCTTCCACTCGAAACATCACGTGAAACGACAGCTCACACCGAGGCGAAGAAATTGACACTTGTGGGACCTGAAAAGCGAAGGTCAAAAGTTCAATAGAAATACAGAAGGATAACTGGTCAATTAGTCAGTAGTGGAATCGTCAAAGGTTATAATCTTGCTGATGAGAGGTTAACTAGACCACCTTGAACGTTATGGAATCCCCGAGACACGTTCTGAGTTTACGCGCTTGACTCCCTGTACGAGGAGAGACTCTACACAATGGTCGCAGAATGTGTTTCAAAGACAGACTCCGCTACGATTAACAAACGTTGAAAAGCCAATCCTTGCAGAAGGTGGCGCAGGCCACCATCGCAGAGAACGTCCCTTTTCGCGACATGAAGATGCTCGACAAGAGCGCCACGGCTCTGCAACGATAAGCCGTCTCCGCCCTCCTAATGAGTT